GTTTATTATTTTACACTCATTCTTTGCACTTTTCCAGTTCATCGCTTCCTTTCCTCTATTTCGAAATTGTCTCGATTTACTCTTTTTTTTCTTTTCAGAATGCCAGCTTCAACTGCTTCCACATCTTCATCTAAAACTTCCACTTCTACCAAAGTTCGCTCACCAAACAAGCCAATCTCTAAGCAGACGAAGAATAAAAGAAACGCGAGAGAAAGAAAACGAGTTGATCAGGTAGAGTTTTTTTTTTAATTTCGAGCTTATTTTAACTTTAAAAATTCAGGTCAACCAAGGATTCCAACGTCTCCAAGAAAGTGTCCCCAGACCTGCCAACAACAAATCGAAACTATCCAAGGTGAGTTTTCCACAAAATATAGAAAAGTCTGAATCATCCATCTTCCAGGTAGAAACACTTCGCCAAGCTGCTCAATACATTCGCCAACTTCAAGGCCAACTTGGAATCATGCCAACGGGAACTCCAGTGGATTTTCCAACACCAGAACATTCACCAATCTTTCCATCAGTCATGTATCCAATGATGGCCCAGACGCCATCTCCAACCTACCTCTCTCCATACTATCCACAGCCGACTCCCATCACTTTCGAAATGAATCCATACTACCTTGCTGAGAGCTGCTCGTCGGTTTCTCCAGCTGCATCTGGATCTGGAGACAACAGCTTCTATTCGCACGCCGATATTAATTAAATGGTAATTTCCGCATTTTAAATTTCTCTTTAAAGTCGCTTTTATCCCATACGGGTTCCCTCAAATACTTACCGTTTTTCGTTACTAGGTTCCTATGGTTTACACATCTTTATTTCTTTAATTCGCTTTTTGTAGCCGTCCGATCTCGTTTATTTATAATTGTCAAATATATAAAGTTAAATATGCACAAATAAACCTCCTTTGTATAGTTTCCATATTCTCTTTTCTCAAGTAATCGGTCCTCGCAACCTAATCCTTCTGTTTCCTTCCCTTTTCGGCATCAGCTAGAAACTGTAAAGTCTCAATTTACACCCCTTGACCTCATCTAACCCATCGCACACGATTCGCACAAAAAAAGGGCTGCTCGGAAAAAATGTGGGTCAGTAGGGGAAAATGGACACTCAATCAAATGCAAATCCAAGAAACGGCTTTTTTCCTTTTTTTTGTCGTTTCGTTCGACTGGTCCGTCGCTGGTCTTCTGTGTCCATGTTCTCCTTTTTTGCGAATTTCTAATTGACACCCGCAAAAGGGCATGAAAGCACTACAACGTGCTCATTAGTCAAGCAGTCCGTTGGCGAAAAATGGAAATAGTATTGAGAAGCGAGAGAGAAATAGAGATTGACGAATTGCATGGTAAATGCGGAAAAAAAAAACAGTTGAAGGGGCCTGAAGAGATCTGCCATGTCTTGATACAGGTGTCAATTTGAAGTGGAACATAAGAATTGTGGAAGGATCATCATCAATTGATACCGTAACGCATAATCCAAGTTGCATCATTGGCTTGTTGGGAATTAGGAATCATGTTATTTTTTGGGAGGATACCTTTGGGATGTTCGAATGGCTAATTCGCTCAACAGAAGGCTTCAAAAAACCTGGGAGGAAGTTTGCAATAAACAATGCTGACCATAAATTTATGAAAAACGTGTTTTTCAGTTTATTTTTACCATTTCAGAAGTCTGGAGCTCGGCTGTCAAGTGACGGATCACTTTGGAAATTCTGGAGGTTATAAAACAGATATAGATTGAAAACTTTTCCTTCACAGAATTTTTTGAAAATTCCTAGTTTTTCAGTTATTTGCCGATTCCTGAAGAGCACCTGCTTTTTTCACGTCTTCAATAAGGAAAAGGCTGTCCTTCAAAAATCGGAATATAACTAGGATTTTTCAAAAAAAATCTATAAATGCAAAGTTTTCAATATAGGTCTATTTTATAACCTCCCAATTTTTCAACGTGGTCCGCCACTTGACAGAATACTAGAACTAATTGTAAATAAACTATCTCGAAACCCTTTGTATACCATCTGTGGACCTAAGAAACAAGCCTGAATGAATACATAAGTGTAGAGCAATTTTCAAATCATTGTTCATTTGCTACATCTCTCCTCCCTTCCCTCCGAATCTCGCATAAATTAATCAAATAGCAGGTGTGGACCGTATTGTATGTTCATGTACACGTGCGGGCTTCCCGTATGATTTTTTGAGGGTTCTCCTCCCCCCATACAGCTTCCGTTCGGTTCCATATGCACATTAGGGAGGAAATGAACGAAGCAGATAGAGAGTTGCACAACACCAATTAGTGGGTTGGACCACACATACACACACTCATACGCTCTTTTGCATTCTAGAAGCGGATTTCGGGATTTACCGGAGATGGAATTGTGCGAGTGCAGGCACATACACACACGTTGAAAGGTATAATTTTGATAGGGAAGGAATATAGAAAAAGTAGTCATAAAAGCATAGGATTAGTTGTAGACTAGGAGAGATGGGGGGAGGTATGTTGAGAAAACAAAAATGTTTTGACTTGAGGAAAAGACAAGGTCGTTAGATGGGAGGTATATGTTTTGGGAATGTTTGTAAAAAACAAAAAAGTTGTTTTTGGAGAGGCTATGAGAATAATAAAGCTTTCGTGGAAATTTAGGGGAGATGGAGATGATGATGATACGGCTTGGAGAGCTTTACAACCTCTAATAAGAATCAACCAGCATTTGAATCAATAACCGGATGCGGGCCGACACTTACTGTAATAGACATGCCCCAACACTGCCAATTTTAAGTTCAATTTTCTCGATTCCTATACTAAATATCAAAAATTTTCTAACTGATAAAATGTTTGTGAAATTATGATAAACAATTTATTAGTTGACAACTTTTTTATAACTTTAACAGGAACCGAGATATATAGACTTAAAGTTGGAAGTGAGGGGCCCTACTATTACAGGATTTACGGAAGCCGGACAAAAATCGTCGGCTCGGACCAAAATGCCGTTTACAAGACCGGTCGATTGTTATTGGAGATTGTTTTGCTTTTCGAGCTCTATCTTCTAGTATGATGTTTTGCTCATAATTTCAATTTTAAAGCGAGTTATCAGCAGGCTCGGACCGTCGACAAGTATGATTCCAGCCCTTTCGTATTCGAAAGTACGTTGATTTTTTAAAAAATTCTTCTGATTGAGTCCTTCTTTTTCTCGAAACCCAACTTCCAGATTCTCAAATTGTCAAATATTTCTTGACTTCTCCCCATCTTGACTCCATTCTTCCAACACCTCACACCAACATCTATAATTACAGTGTCCACTTGACTCATCGCAATCATCAAACTTCTATTGAATTGAGCATCTTTTCCATCGCCTCCCAATTGTATATTCCTAAACCTCAAGTGATCACTTCCTCTCTATTTCTCTTCACAATAAGTTGATTATCTATTGTTTTCTCTCTAATTGCTAGTTTCAAATCGTCGCACTTTCCGTTGTTGCAGGTGTGAGTCTATGAAAAGAGACACTAACAAAAAGAGAAGAGAGAGAGAGAGAGAGACTATAATGGCTGTGTAGATGAACAAAGTTTTTTTCGCGTTCTACGAATAGAAAAACGACACTACTAGCAGATAGAGAGGAGAGCACCAAATGGACATCTATTACCATTTCATTAGAAATCTCGCGGAATAAGGTCACGAACGGATTAGGCACAGGCAAGGAGGAGGAGAACATAAAATTTTTTCTTGTCTCGAATGTAAAAGAAAAGCATAAATCATGCTCTCTCGGGTGCTTTATATGTTATAATTAGAAGTAGATGAATAATTACTCAGATTTCTGGATAGCTGGTGGTAGCGGTGCAGATCAAAGTGTGCCGACTGTCACACGAAAGAGAGGGGGATAACATCATAACGAGAAGGAGATTATCCGGCAGAAGAAAGAGGTTGGAGACAATAGAAAAAAAAATGTTAGAATGTGTAGACAATTTACTGTTCAAATTTTGAATTGTATTCCGATTGTCGGAAGGGCTTCAATATACCGATAATTTTTCCGTTTGAAAAAAAAACTGGAAGTAGTTAGAATCCGGTGGATTTATGTCAATTTCCAGACACGATCTTCTGCGGAGATCTCAGTTTACTAAGAACGTTACCAAGACTCTCAAAATAAAAAGTTGTGTTTGGAATCCAAACTATGGACCGTGTTTGTGTCTATAAAAATAGAAATACCGTATATCCCGTATTAGAATCCTTTAAACAGTAGGACCCCTCTAATAGTAGGGGCACATAATTTGGAGGGTACAAAAATTAGTGGGTAAAGTTATTTAGGGGTACAAAACCCACAATTCGGAGGTAAAAAACTACAATTTTTCAGATATTTCCCATTTTTAGGTATTATTTTGGTTTACCCCAAAATCGATTTGTACCCTAATGGCCCCAAAAGTTTTCGCACCCTCCGTATTATTTGCCTTTGAAGTGCCTTTCGGAGAAATATTGAAACAATAAAATGGCCTGCCCTTCTAATAGGGGTTTTTTGGTAGTCTTCTCAAGTATAGGAGAAACATCTGAAGTCCTCATTCAAGCCTCATTTTGTATTTTCAAAGAATTTAAACGAAGGCCAATCTAAACAAAAACGCGGGGGCTACTAGCTTGTTTTTCTTCAAACTTTTAGTGTCAAGCATTGTCGGATTAGTGCCTAATTATGTGATTGATGATGATGAAGAACTAATATTCTTCGTCCCCGCAAAGTTGACCTAACCTTATACTTGACTTGCTTCTATGCAAACAACCAAAACGACTCATGCCAGTACATTTGAATCGACTATCCATTATGAATAGGTAATAAGGGATTGGTTGTTCAGATAACATGAATTTAAAACAAATGATTGAAATGAAAACTATTTATTCCAAACACAACTGGTTAATTGATTTTGATTTTTCTCGAACTCAAATCTTCGGACTAGCAGAAGTTGATCCACAGATTTTGCACGTTTTTGGGCATTGTCTGAAATCATAAGATATACTATTGAAACTATCATCCAATTCTTACTCGGCAATGTTTTCATCGTGGCACTGCGGAGCATAGTTTGGACAGAATCCAAGTTTATCTTCGCATACGAATGGAGTATCAGTGACACAGACTCCGCAGGTTTTTGGACATCCTCTGAAATTTTGAGGTATTTTTGAATGAACTCATCATAAACAAACCTTCTAACATCAGCTTGATTACATGAATCTTTGACGGATGGACAAGTAGGTCTGGTATCCTGACAGGATTCAGAAGCAACGAATGCAACAAGAACAACAGTGATAAAAACGAGACCACGCATCTTGAAGTCTTGCTTCTTGGAGTCTGTAGCCAAGTTTATATATAGAGTTCTTATCTAGAAAGACCAAATAATTAAATACTAATTTCAGATAAAGACCGATGTGGGTGTGTATGATATCACTCGCGTTTCATGGACAGTCGCAGTGCAAAATGCTCTGAAAATGTCAAAGATTATTTTTTCGCTTATGAGATTTCTGGAAAAAAATTTTGTCGACGAAAAATTGTTTACGACAAGGAATCAATGTGAGGGCAGACGTCAGAGTTTCAAGATACAGTATGCCAAAAAATAGTTCGGACAGTTCATAAAGTACCTAAACCTGGAATTTCTTCACTGTTATGCATTCTTCATTCAACCAAATTTTGGTTTTATGGTGCATTTCCGATTTGTCATTCTGGAACATAAAGTTCATATCACGCATTAGAAAGGTGTTCATCTACGAGAGTTGCAGATTTGCCGCCAAGTGTGACTTGAGTGGCTCAGTGAATCGAACGAACGGAGAAGGTCTCGAAGACAATGGACAAACAAATCGGGGCCATGTTTGGAGGTATTTGTACTATCCGACAGTCTTTTCTCTCCCGCAATACCTGACCGTCACATTATGCTGTACCTTGAAACTTTTTTCAATCAATTCTATTCGTTATTTCAGCTATTCAACTTTCTTGTTTTTTTTTCTATTTTTTTTCTTTTTCGGTAAATTCAGCTGAAAATGAAAATGCCCGAATGATCTCAAGTCGCTTGAAATCCTGGTAGCATTTTCTCCATTTCTCTCTCAATCTGTACTCACTAGTCCGAAGTCATTCATATTAAATTTCCTACCCCAATAGTCGACAAATTTTCCACTCAAAAAACATCAACATCCTTCGGGAGAAGTAAATCACACTATTACCCACAATACCCAAAGTCTACTAGTCATATTATTAGCTTATATCGTGAAGAATTGCATAACAGATAATCTGATTGTTCAATTATCTAATGGTAGTTTCCAATTTTTTCTCTGTTCAGCAGTTTCTGGAAAGTCTTACTATTAGATCTGTGAGTTTCAATATAAAATTACTTCACAGTGAAACCGGAGTTCAATTTTCTTCTACACAGCTACGTTCTTGGTTTTATCTGATCTTAGACCATACATCCGTTCGAAATTTCCAGAACCTTCGTCGCTTAGACGGAAGCTACCGTGAATACTCAATAGACGGCCTCTCAAACCGTATATCTCCATTTCTATGAAAGATAATTATGTCTTCAACTGACAAAATGTTTACCATAATATCAAAAATATTTTGTCAGGGATCACTTTCTTATATCTTTCACAGGAATCGAGATATACGTGCTCAAGGTTGGCGGTTCAGGTGGCCTTCTATTAGAGTGTTCAAGGTACCCCATTACCGCAAACCACAAAACCTATAAATGTTTCTAGCTTTGTTCCCGCTGTTTCAATTTAGTTGCACTCTGTCTTCTGAGTATCTTTTTATCATCCCACCTGTTCACCTTGTGCCCTCACCTTATTCTAATCTTCCCCTTAACTTTTTCCACGCGGCAAATCTGCCGCGATTCGAATTTTCTTGAAACGAGCGGCGCGGAAGCCCCTTCTCCGTCTCGTCAAGTGTCCCCTCCCGTGAGGTTGAGGCTTTCCCCTACCGTCCATAAACTGTGCTCATGAGAGAGAAAATTTACAAAAGAAATGCTCCAGGAGCCTCAACTCATTTTTCAATAATAACAAGCAAATAGACATGCTCAAACACGCATTTGCACCCATCCAGGAGACACCGAGAGAGAGACTGTTATTAAAATGTATGGGAAGCCTTCAGTGTTGAAATGACAAAAAAGAGTGAAGAGAGAAAGGGTAAATCTAGTCAACAAGAACACTTGTCGCCGTCGTTTTCCGCCATTCTAAACTGCGTCTAATCCAGCGACATGCACTTGTTCGAAACTTGAGAATAAGTCAACTGTATGGCATAACGAAAGTGACGAAAATTGGTCTAGAGGAGATTTTCACTTAATTGGAGATGTTCTTATTTTTCGAGGAACACCTTAATTTTCCCATAATGTTCCCTATTCTTCATGTTTCGTTTTCTTTGTCGTCTTAGATTTTGTTCTGCTCTTCGACCTCTTTTCGCCCTGTGTTCTGTGTTTGCATTCCCGATTATTTTTGATGAATTAACTGAACTATTTGATGAGTTGTGTGGAAGAGAGAAGAAACGAAAGTGAAAGAAAAAAAGATAGGAAGAGCAGGAATTGATCATTCGGCTGGTTCCATCTGTGTTTTTTTCCTCATACAAACTCCCACGAACAGCTGATTTGATATTGTTTCCGGTCGCAGTTGACATGAAAAGCTCAAGCTGGAATCGTTTTTTTTTTTGATAAAAAGGAATCTAGACAGTTGGTGGATTTAAAAATAGCTAATCTGTGTCTTGATTCCATTTTATCAAGACACAGAGATATAAGAAAGACCTTGGGAAAAATCCAAAGTTTGTTTCGATATATAAAGTACGGAAACCGTAAAACCTGTAATAGAAGGGCTCCCTAACTTTAAACTTTGAGCTCAATCATCTCGGTTCTTGTCAAAGATATGAGAAAGTAATCAATTAATACATTTTTTATCATAATGTCATCAATATTTCATTAGTGTAAAGATTTTTGATATCTCTTATAGCAACTGACAAGGGAAGGCTTTTTAGACAACGGTTGAGAATTTTGGTTGATTACGACTGTTGATTTTCACATTTCTCAACTTCCGATTTGCAGAATTTGAAAAGTTAGAAAAGATTGAAAAATAAGGTAAGCTGTATTTGAAGTTTACATTCTTACTGTAGTTTCTATAATTGCCCACTGCTCAGTAAAACTCCAGTTTTCAAGATTTCAACTTGTTATCCATGTTCCGATCTCCATCTTTCTGCCTTCTGAATTTTCACATTCCTTTCCCCTGTTAAGTAAGAAATCATGCGAAAAAATAATTATGCGTCGAAAAAAGTGTTTATGAAAAACAAACGGCTTGTTGCAAAACGCTTCTCAAAACGCTTCTCCTTCTTCTGGCAATTGATACCCAAAGTGCAGATAGTCATCTTCTTTTTTCGCTTCCGACAGTTGGATTCTGATGTCTTTCTTCCGACAATTCACCGGTTATCTCGGTCTCCACATCGGAATTCGACGTACGCCCTTCACAGCTTTTTGCTTCCGAATCGCGGCTTCTTCTCTTTCCACACTCAATTCATATTCGGTTTTTCAAGTTTTGACCTTTCTCTATTCCTATTTTCCAATTCGCTTTCTGATTCATTACTATTCTCGTTCCTACTATAATTTTCTCGTTCCGATACAGGCGTCGACAGTTACCTTTTAACTCACATTTATCTTCTTTTTTTCTTCTACTTCTTCCCCTCATATATTCAATTGAATTCAATACCGACCATTAGACCTCCCGGTTAAAGAATGAGTAGGCAAGGCCGCAAAACTATTTGGGTCACGGTTCTTTTTTGGTCCTCCATTTTCTCTTTTTCTCGAACTGTAGTCGTTCTCCTTCTTATTTCTCTTCTTCCCTCTTTTCGTCGTCGTCTTTCTTTTTTAAGACCTGAAAATATTTTTCTCCTTCTTCTGATTTCTATGGATTGTTTCTTTTTCCGTCCTCTATGTTTCTGATGACGCACAAAGCTTGATGATGCTTCATCTATTTCTTGTATTTTTTCGAGGAGAAGAAGCCAATGCTTTTACAGTCAAATCGATTCGAGAATTCTGAAACTGTGCAGTTGCTATGGGGGAATTTTTATTCTCTCAAAGTCTCTGCGCTCATCAGAATCTGATTCATTTTTTACAGTGACCCAATTACCGTAAAACCTGTAAAAGAAAAACCTCCTAACTTTGAAATTTGAACCAATTTTTCTGGGTTCCCGTTTAAGATACTGAAACGCTGTCCACTGATAAATTGTTAATCAATATATCAGAAATTTTTTGTCAGTTAAAACATTTCTGAAATCTTGTATAGGCATTGAGGTAATTGAGCTCGGACTTGGCTATGTGGGGGTTCTTCTATTACAGGTTTTACAGTATATCGTTCAAGAATCGGTATCTACCGTATTTCCTTTAATAGAAGTCCACCCAAAGCGTCAACTTTGAGCTCAATTATCTTGATTCCTGTGAAAGGTATCATCATTTTGTTAACTGATAAAATATCGGTGATATTTTGATAAAAAATTTACAAGTTGACAAGTTTTTGATATCTTTCACAGGAATCGAGATAATTGAGCTCAAAGTTGACGGTTAGGTATGATTCTCTCATCACCATTCACTTCTTTCTATCGCAACTTCCGATCTTCTCAGCTGATATCTCTGAAACTGACCTTCTCTGACAAGGCGGATAGTCTCTCAATTTTCGAAGTAAAAAACGTGCGGTGTAAACAGTGCGGAGGAGTGAATCTCTCTCCTCCCGTACATATGTAAATATGCTTCTTCAGCTGCTTCTTTTTTTTCTCCTCCACCTCCTATCTTCGCAATTACCGGTTGCGTTATTTGCGCCTCGAGAAACAGCAAAAAATGACTTTTCACATTTCGACCCATTTTTTTTCAAAAATCTTTTTTCCTTTCTGTTTTTGCTGGAAGAAGAAAACCTAAATGAAGTGATCACTTCTGAGAGTGTGGGAGGATCTTCTTGATTAGAGAGAGAGAGAAATATCTCTAGAACACCTGTTCAGGTCAGGAGGTTATATGATTTTTGATTTCGAGAGAAAAAGGTGGAGTGACGACAGGATGGGATCTCTTGTTGTCTCTGACGATAGGTTTTTGTGACAAGCTCATCGAGCTATTTATCTGTTTTCTCTAGCTTTTGACTTGGTTGTTTTTCCAAATCATTTCATTGGTTGATCTAGTTTTGTGTGTGGGAGTGCAGCTCGGGTTTTGGAATGTTTTATTAGTTCAATTTTCTTGCTCCTGGTATTTGAGTTTTGTTTCTATTTACCGTGAAACCTGTAATAGAAGGGCCTCAACATTTTTAAGTTTGAGCTGAATTATATCGA